ACCAGTTCGATTTCTGACATGGGTACAATGTGTGAATCCCATTTCTGGTGTCCCCCGCCGTGACATTGCTGGAATATTGCTACATTTCTGGTGTCCCCCGCCGTGATATTGCTGGAATATTGCTACATTTCTGGTGTCCCCCGCCGTGATATTGCTGGAATATTGCTACATTTCTGGTGTCCCCCGCCGTGATTTTGCTGGAATATTGCTACAGTTCTGGGGTGAGAGCGCAAAACAGCTAAGAGCAGCGCAAAACATACTCACTCACTTTGACATAATAGCAGTGGTACTTTGTAACACCAACATCAACATTGTGTCAAGATGTGTCAACACTATGTCTCCAAATAGTAACAATATTTTAACACTATATCAACATATATCAGGAATATGCATACATCATAGTAAGGCCATATATGAAGATATTCTTGTTTTTAATTACTGCCCAACATTACGAATTTTTTCATTTTTATATTATTATTTTATTTTTTAACCTTGACTCTCAAAATGTGCATGATTGTTTTACTCTTCTAAGTTTTGACTTTCTATCAAAGAAAATGTGACTGTAAATAACTACAACAATCAAGGGGATAAAATAAAACAAAATGTAAAAATATAATCCGCCCGCCCGATCCATATCTTTTTGAAAAAGTGATGAGAAACAAGAATATTTTTTTAGCCTAATAATGTGCCTTACTACAATGTATCAATAATATGTCAACAATATATGTCAGCAGTATGTCATCACCATGAAAATAATATGTCACACTATGTCAAAACATGTCATAAATATGTCAGCATTTGTCAGCAATATGTCACTTAGTCAACAGTATGTCAAGACACCCGTGAAGATCTGGGTGAGAATTGATCTAGATGCGACTAACGGGATCGGGTGGTCAGGCTCGCTAACTTGGTTGGCACATATATTTATATCCCAATTGTGTAGGTCGATGCTCATGATGTTGATCATTGGATTGTCTGGTCCAGACTGGATTATTTACAGACCGCCGCAACATAGCTGGAATATTGCTGATTGCGGCGTAAAACTAAACTCACTCACTCAAGACTTAGACAACATTATTCAATATTAAATGTGGCAATAATATGTCAACACTATGACATAATCTGCAAACTCTATGCCAGAATGCCTCAACAATATTCTAACACTATGTCCAAATACATGTATACAAGTATACCTATTCTGAACTAAAATTAAGTTATCGTTAGCGGCAACCATGTAGTTTTAACGCAGGATTAATTTGTGACAATACACATCCAGCTGACTCCTCGCCAAATACTGGATTAGACAGCGCTGATGACTGAGTGAGTGAGTGAGTTGAGTTTTACGCCGCACTCGCAATATTCCAACTATATGGCGTCGGTCTGTAAATAATCGAGTCTGGACCAGACAATCAAGTGACCAACAGCATGAGCATCGATCTGCGAAATTGGGAACCGATGACATGTGTCAACCAAGTCAGCAAGCCTGACCACCCGATTCCGTTAGTTGCCTCTTACGACAATCATAGTCGTCTTTTGTGGCAAGCATGGGTTGCTGAAGACCTATTCTACCCCGGATCTTCACGGGTCCGCTGATAACTGAATAAACACATATTCGGGCGGCTCATTTCATGCCGGAATTGACAGCTGCCGGATTGTAGAGCTCTTAAATGATGATAAATGCACTAGCCACAGACGGGACTGAGATTTTATGCCGGTGTTGACAACTCGCCGGATTGGACAACTGCCGGTTTTGACAGCTTCCGCTCTATGTCATCACTTTGGCCACTCTAAACACAAAACAATATCAATATTAACACTTTGCACATTGTGTCCGCACTGTCAGTGGTTTGCTACTATGCCACGCAATACCACAATGTGTCAAGACTTCGTCTTCAGTATATCCAAAAGCTACCGCTATCTTAATAGATTACGAGGTAGATACCGCCCAACACAATTTATCATCCACATCCCTTGTTAAGAAAGAAACATCTCTCCCAGCAGAAAATGGGTACCCGATGGGATACGTCATGTGGCTATAACCTTCTAGCGCTTAACAGGCAGTTTGGGTTATCAGGGGTTATAATGCACTGTGCTTGGATTGTTAGCGCTATGAGCATAAGTAGTGTGGAGTTTGGCGCTATGTAAATGGACACATTATCATTATTAAATTATTATTATTATATTATTTATAATTATTAGCCTTGTGGTTAAAGCTTTACCTCGTCACGCTGAAGACCCAGGTTCGATTCCCCATATGGGTGTCCCCCCGCCTTGATATTGCTGGAATATTGCTGAAAGCGGCGTAAAACCCAAATCACTCACTCCTCACTAACTCTCTCAACGACAGAGGTAATGTAGTTTAGCCTAGTTGTCCGAGTGTTAGTCCGTCACACATAAAGCACAAGTTCAATTCTCAAGGGTACAGTACGTGAAGCCCCTTGGCATGTGTTATCAAAGAGCGGCGTGGACTGAAATCACTTTGATCTGATAAACCAGATCCCTCCTACGCGTTTGCTCTCTTGTCTGCTGTTGGTAGACATTAAAGGTACAATGTCGCCCATTTTCGACAATATTTTTTGCCTATATAATATATATCAGGATTTATCATCTAATGGAGGGTGTTATCGGTGTCCAATTCTGATAACTATGCAAATTACGTCAATCTGCGAACTACTTTCTCAAAACTCCATACACGCCATACGAATCCTAAAAGGTTTTAACATTTCATTGATGACGTCGCCGCGAGTTTACATTGCGTGGACGAGTTTGTAAACAAACATGTCTGCCCCCATTATCAAAATTGGTGATTCTGTAAGAATTGATGACACAGGTTCTGGAGTCGTTACTGCAGTAATTGACTTAAGAAAACATGAAACGGAGTACTTCGTTCAAATTGAAGGTACGGAATATGAGGCACGAGTGACAGGTAACAACCAAGGATTTCGATCTATTGATCACAACAAAGACGACGAATCGATTCCATCAGGTATCAGAAACTGATATTGATGATTTGATTACCCGCAATGAAAATAGAAACACTACCAAGAAAACCCCGCCTGATTTTGTTGTTCTTTTTAGACAGAAAGATCATATATAAGGCATAAGTTATGTTTGCACTGTATTAGCGACTAGTCACAACCATATGCCGCCGTCATAAACGACCTTCACCTTGGTGTACGGCTAAGTATTCTTACGCGAATGCTCGATTCTCTTCATTTACTATTCACAGTTTGCTAAGGATCAAGTCATTGATTCAACGGAACACTATGATGTGGGGTCACATTTGGTTTAAATACCTAAGCCTATTGTAAGCATGGATCCTTTGTTTCAGTATGTCACTGCATCTTGTGGATCCCATACCTGCTATTGACAGGTGTTTTGTACTTGTCAATGACTCGTTCCATGATTTGCAAAATGGTTGATTGGTGCCATGAAAACCATTTTTTATGGTTACTCATGTATCAGGTGCATACGGTTAGCTAAAGTGGCTGTTTTCCTAAAGATGTGTTACCATATCATTATTTATCCAGTTTTAAATGGATACAATTTTAAATTATAAATCTACGTTTAAGTAATGTTGCGATTTTTTGTGATCCTTAGCAAAATGTGAGTAGTATATATAAATTCACATTCGATTTGCTTCTTTTTTAGAGTATTTTTTAAGAATGACATTTTATGATAAAGAGATCATTAACCTCGTGTGTTTCCGTATCATTAATATCAAATAGTAGGAATAAAAATATGTTAAAAGGCTCGCATAATACAATTTGTATTCCTAATATATGATATTAATTTGCCAAACTGGTTTCAATCACAAGTTGAGCGTATGATATTCGTAAAGAGCGCTCCAAGGGACATAACTCTATGGTGTGGTGTGGTGTGGTGTGGTGTAGTGCCTTTAAGCGTACAGTCCAATCGAAATTGAACGGGTTTTCGTAACTCCGCGGTTTTAATGTGTTTGAACGATGTAAGCAATGTGAGGCAATTCAGTGCTTCTCCTTGAAGTCATGCATTCGCGTATTGCGTATAATAGTATAACATTCACACTCTCAAGGAGGCAAACAGGACTTCGTTGTATGAACGTGAAACGACATCATTCGTCTTCGGGAATATCCTACATGCAACCATATTTGTTTTACTTTAGTTATTGTTTAGTTAGTTGTTGACAAACTAGCAGTGACCCGAAGATTGAGATTAGCTGATATAAGGGCTTACCGGCCTTTCCGCGGAATGGTCCTGACCCTCAGACATCGCCAAAACAGACATCGGTGGGCAAGGCAAGTATACAGGTGGCAAGTCCGAGATTGGCGACGTGTTCTCTTTTCCGATGAAAGCCGTTTCACCCTTTACAAGTGTGATGGCAAAGAACGGGTATATCGTCGACGAGGGAACGTTTAGCAAGGCCATGCATCAGAGAAGTTCATCCATTCGGCGGGGGTGGAGTCATGGTTTGGGGCGGTATCTGTGGAGACCAGAAGACCCGTCTGGTTGTAGTGCAGGGCAATCTCAATGCACGGGGTACATCGGACAGATCCTACAGCCAGTTGTGGTACCCTTCCTACAGAATCAACCCCGGGTGTACTCCACCACAACATGACAACGCGAGACCTCACACTGCCAGAGAGACTCGCTACTTTCTGCAACAGAACAATGTTGACGTCCTGCCCTGGCCAGCTAGTTAGATCGACTTTACGTTCTGAGTACACTTCCCTCGAAACAGTTGAGTTGTGAGAACGGAGAGCGATATCATTCGTCCGTCGGTACATATTCTACATGCAGCCATACTTGTTTTACTTCAGTTATTGTTTAGTTAGTTGTTGACAAACTAGTTAGATCGTCTATGCGTTCAGAGCTTATTTCCCAAGGAACGCATTATCGTTGAAGTAAAGTATTCAGATCGAGGCAGATCTTAACGTACCGCATGTATGTCGGTAAAATACGGGGGTCATGCTGTTGACCTTGAATGTTTACCTCAGAATTAGCGAACCGCGACGACTTACTTGTTGGACGATGTCCGTCTGACTGCTGGGGTGCCCTGGTCAAACTGGTGACCTGAAATGCAGGTTCTCCTCACTGGAGTCCAAGACCACACACCACAATATCGGTGATTTGGGGAGACACGGGCGTGACGCGCTGTCGTCTGTTGACAAGTGCGCCTTTCACAGAACCTGTCGTAGTGTCACCTCGATCGGCGGAGACCATGCATACATAAGTCACGTGACTGTAAGGGGTATTTTGATGGATGGGGGCCATTAGGTGGGGGGGGGGGTGTTTGGATAGACCTGTTGAATTGACAACAGTTTGGGGGCAACCTACAAAATAGTACACAATACTACAAAAATAATGGCAATGTACTTTTGTACCAGTGAGCATGTATTTCTTGTATTGGACTGAGATATTCAGGCTATGGACAGAGGATAGCAAATGAGAGTGTGTAATTTTTACATCGCACCATTTCAGTTACATTACGACGTGGCAAGGGCTCATGGAGAAGGCCCAACGTAATGCAGGTGTTTGGTGAAACTTCATCTTTTTCATGGAACCCTACGAGCAACGATATGGTTCAGACAATCCCAGAAACATAATCTGCAATCACAGGATCCTGTCATCACTAAGGGACACAACTATGTACAGATAATTAGATGAAAACGTTTAAGACACGTCCACCATTAAATCCAATTAAATTCGCTACAATTACTATGCGACAGAGTGACCGTGTAGTGATGTTGATCATGTTGCTGAGTGAGTGAGTGAGCTCCACGCTGCTACACTACATGAGTCATATCAGAGTCTATCAGCTTAAAATTTGAGAAAAGCCTATAGTCACGCACGTAGAACTTCCTTTTCTCTGGGGGCCGTGGGGTAGCCTAATGGTTAAAGCGTTCGCATGTCACGAAGAAGACCCGGGTTCGAATCCCCACATGGGTACAATGTGTGAAGCCCATTTCTGGTGTCCCCGGCCGTGATGTTGCTGGAATATTGCTAAAAGCGGCGTAAAACCTAAGTCAGTCAGTCCTTTTCTCTGCTTAAAGGAGAATGCGAACGAAAACAAAACTTTTGATAGGGGTAAAGGCATTCTAAAAGTCACCTTCCGTGATTAAAATTGAACAAAAAGTTTGTAAAATCGCAATAAAAACACGAAAAACTTACTCGTATTTCCACCTATTACGGAAACACCCGACAGTTTATGAGCAGAGGGGTATCACGTGACATGACGTCATATGTGCCTGTTTTTGATGGCTTCCTCTTTGAAGTTACCTCACAACTTAACAGTGTCCATGGATTCTGAAGCAGTAAAAGAAGTTCCTGATGTGTTTCTGAAATGGATGTTAGACCGTATCAATACGATCCGATTTTACATCTTGCAAGACAATCTTCCAGTGAAGATGAAGAAGAAGAATCAAGCGAAACGGAGGCACAGCTTGATGTCAAAATAAGTTTTAAAATAAACCATACCATTTAACAAGAATAATATTTGTCAGCAAAATGTGATACAGTTCCAACCATCAAACCCATCCCTATAAATTAATGACAAGTCCCTAAGAGCCGAAAACTGGTTAATTATAAAATACTATAGCTAGTCAGGAAAATGTATGTTTCCCCAGTTTTTGGTTATGGAAATAGTTATGGTACTCGGTCATAGCCTTAGAATGACATCTTGTCAGCCAATGACAATACAAAACAACTTTCACAGCACACACTATTGACAAATAGTGAGTCTGATGCCGACGTGCGTAATTGGACAAAATGGAAAACAATGAAAGCAACAAGTACTTTATGATTTGCCATTGCATTCGGCAATGTTTCGGGTAGACTGCAGCATTTAGGGCTCCAAACCGAAAAGAACGTTATAGCGAAACATTTTCAAGCTCATGTGAAATCTCTTACTGATTTGTCTCATGGGTACCAGTCGAAATGCCCCAGCTACAAAATGCCCCAGCAAATTTGGTCATTCATTCTAATTTGGTCCAATTTATTTTAAATGATTAAAAATATGACGTAAATGCATAGTTTTTGTCAACTTTGATGTTATGTTCTTCATATAAAAGTTATTATGAAGTAATATTTCTGATAAATGTTCCATCAGTAAACTCATAACTATGTATATACTTTTATATTTAGAACATAATATCAAAGTTGACACAAAATATGCTTTTATGGCCTATATTTAATCATTTAAAATAAATTGCGTCATTTTGACTACCCTGGGGCAATTTGACCCAAACTCCGGGGCAATTTGACCAACTTTGCTGGGGCATTTTGTACCTGGGGCATTTCGACTGGCAATCGGACTTGATTTAATTTATGTTAAAAATACCACTGACAGTAAGTTGTAATAGGAAATGATGGAGTATAAATGTACGTGGGTACTTCTTCCTTCTTCAGCCTAGCTTTTGGATTTTCATACCCCATTGTGTGCATGTCTCTTTCATATGCGTCCGACTCGGAATGATCGGAACATTTCTCCTGCCTAAATCTGTCTCTATACTAGGAAAAGGGAAGAAATGGCAGCTCTTTCCATTGTTCGATGATTCTGTGCATCCCCAGGCAACGCAATACACCATCGTACCATTTACAAAAACGACAGAAGCATCACGATTTGTACTACTGTAGCGCTTGTTCTTTCCAGTATGACGGACGCTAGTCACATATGACGTCACGAGCGGAAAGGTCACGTGAGTTCCAGCGGAATATGCATAATGACCGAAGCTCAGATAACAGAAACTGTTTTCGCCATTAAAACCTAAATAACCATATTTTTAAAATGTAAATTGGGGTACATGTTTCTAATGACTTTATCTTTCACCCAGCAAATTATTGCAATTATCTAGTATTCTCCTTTAAGAAAGGTGCAGTTGTTCAGTCACAGTCTTTGTGCTAGATGTAGGAAGAAAAAGGCAGTCCTCGGTTTTAGTTTGTTGGACCGCATTCAGGAAAATATACCAGCTATTCAAAATAATGGTGATTTCCACTTTGAGCATCAATCTATGAAACGGAAATATGATGGCATGCATCAACCAAGTCGGCGTGCCTGACTAACCCCTCCTCCAACCCCCCCACCCCCTCCCCGATCCCGTTAGTCGCCTCTTTCGGCAAGGTTGGTTTGCTGGAGACCAATTGTAAATCGGATCTTTACGGGTACCCTGATTTGTATATCGCAAACCTTGACCACCCGGTGGGCGGTGGGGTAGCCTAGCGGTTAAAACGTCACGCTGAAGGCTCGGGTTCGATTCCCTACGTGGGCACAATGTCTGGTGTCCAACGCCGTGATATTGCTAGGAAATTGCTAAAAGCGGCGTAAAACCATACTCACTCACTTGATCACCCGGGCATTAGTTACCTGACGTTCAACAAAATACTCCATAAGATGAAGTTAAAGACCTTCTGATTCTTCCATATTACTACAGTATATCCGCCAAGCCATAATGATCGGTCATGTGAGAATGTTTATAAGAGACCAAGGCCAGTTTCGTTTCATTATCACTTCGTGCGTTTCGTGAATTTCACAGATAGAAACATTCAGACATCTGAAGACATGGATCCCAAAGAAAGTCTAACTTTAGATATGTTCGTCTCATATTAGTTGGGGCGATGGGGTAGGCTAGTGGTTAAAGCGTTCGCTCGTCACATCGAAGACCCAGGTTCGATTCCCATATGAGTACAATGTGTGAAGCCCATTTCTGGTGTCCCCCGCCGTGATATTGCTGGAATATTGCTAAAAGCGGCGTAAAACTAAACTCACTCACTCATATTTGGTTGAAACACGGACACAACTGTAAATGGGACATTTAATGCTGCAGCAAGAAGTAGCTTCTTCTCCAAAGGCCAACGCACAATATACACTTACAGAGATTGAAATAGTGCTTAATGTGTGTGCCATGGCATGCAAGTATTGAAATGACACAGATGAAATATTCTCAATGTGCCAAGGCGGCACGACTAAAATAATAAAAATAATGCTTACCATGATTCACATTTGTGGAAACTGCGATAGATTATTCAGAGCCTACTTTTGCACCCCAAACTGTTTATCGTTGTTATCTCAATTTTACAACTTAACATGGAAGACATAACATGGAAGACATAACAGGACATCCTGTTTTGGATGATAACATATTTTGTGGGTAAGGTTATGCGTCCAGGACAACAGGAAGCTGAAACATTCTTGCAGTCAAGTGTTAAAATATTCCAATTCTGAAATTTACATTTTTACATGATGTTTACTCATTCACAAAACAATGTATTGAAATGGCATAATTGTTGTGATGTTTAAAGTTGGATCAAATTGGGCATACTTATTTTCACAAAGGCATGCCTAAATTATCTGCCAGATGTGGGCGGTGGGGTAGCAAAGGGGGTACACTATTTCAAGACCATTTCTTGTGCCCCCCGCCGTGATAGTGCTGAAAGCGGCGTAAAGCTAAACTCACTCACTCGCTATCTGTGTGGTGCCCAAGGCACCCTTCGAAAAAATACATTTCTGTCCCCGACTTCATTGTTTCAAAGATCTCGACCGTAAAAACATTTTTGTCTCAGCGATGGCGGCAACTGACACAGGACAGGAGGACAGTGTTTGACCGAGAAATGCTGGCAGAGGATGAGGACAGTACTAGTTCAAGGACAATTTGACGATGAAAATGGACAGCGGGCGAACGAAGAGACGGAGAGGATCAGGGGCGTGCAGAAGAAACCTAATGAAGGAATAATCGGTCTCGCACACCCACGAGAATAAACTGGAGAAAGAGTTCGACCGGAGTCTAGAATATTTGGGCAAGTCAAGATTGCCTCAGCTCTTGGCTCCTTTCATATCTTATGTTTTTATGTTTATCTACTCCTTATTATTATTTTTGTACATATACGGTTTTAAATAAATATTACTTTAAGTCTGTGAATGAATGTGAGTGACGTACAGAAATGGAGACGGTCATTGGTCGGATGCGACAAAAGGTGGCGAACATCGCACTGATAAAGATGGTTGGATTTCTGTTTTGTTTGTTTGTTTCAACAATATTCCAGCGATATGACCGCGGTCTGTAAATAATCGAGTCTGGACCAGACAATCCAGTGATTAACAGCGTGAGGATCTACGCAATTGGGAACCGATGACATGTGTCAACCTTGTAAAGCAAGCCTGACCACCCCATCATCTTAGTTGCCGCTTGATTGCATTAGTTGCTGAAGATCAAT